TTGAAATTAATGGCTTGAACTTGTTTAATAATATAAGCAACCTGCATTAATTATTAAATGTCAAGTAAGATCTTGGCACTCCGTAATGGATTCTTCATAATAATAAATCAAATTGTAATAACTTTAATAACTTATTTAAAATTAATCACATGAAAAATTAAATTCAATAAATGTGAATTTTTTATGGTACAGTGGAAAGATAGAAGAAAAACTAAGAAGCCCTAACATACAAACAAGGTTCCCGTCGAATCAGTGCGAAGATGCAAATTCAAACCTAGAGGCCAGGACTCCCAGATCCTCAGACCCGATGTCTTCTCTTCTGCAGCATGCTCAGCCATAAAACCAGCACAGGTGTTTGCTTCCCTACAAGTAAGTATGATGAAGCTTGACTAGCCAATCTCTCTTCAACAGATCTCTGATATCTCCACTATAAGAGCTCTGAACTTGTGAAACTCATAATCAATACCTGCGGTGACCAACCTTATAGCATCCATGGAGTCAGAGTCACAGAGAATCCGTCTGTAACCCCTTTCCCAAGCCAAAAGAAGACCAAGCTTCTTCAAAGCCATCAATTCTGGTAATAGTTTACACCCAAATCCTGCAAATCCAGTAAAGCCCACCACAAACAAGCCTTCTCTATGGTGAATTAGGCCCTCGAAACCAGCTCACCCTGGGTTTCCTAGAGAGCTATCTTCAATATGATAAAATCATCCTCGGGTCGTTGCCAATGATAGTAGCTCTAGCATTATTATTCTTCCATGTTAAACCACAATCTTCTATTAATCTTCCTTAGCGGCCAATTCTCTCCACAATGAGCAGTGCTAAAAATAAAAATGAATTAAATGGGCAATCTTAACTATTTTTTTAGTAGAAAAATAATTTTTGTTACCTAAATTATTTTTTTTTGTTAGAAGAATCTTTATATTTATTTAAAATGATATAAAATATAGACAATTTAAAGAAGATATAAATAAACCTATCTCATATTAATTATTTATTAAATATTTGTTCAAAACTTGAAAAATACATATTTGTTAAAAAAACTTTTCTATCAAAAACTTTTCTTGAAATGTTGAGGAATTCTTTTGGAGTTTTTATCAAATCAAACTTAAAAGAAGAAGGGTATTTGTGAAATATTATATTTCCTTTGGAATCACTATTATTTTTTTTTTTACTTCAAATTCAAATCAATATCTTGAAAAAAAAATAGCAAATAAAATTAATTTAATCCTCTAAATTAAATTGAATCCATAGACTCTAAACATGCCGGTAGTTAATAGGATTTGAACCATGCCATTTGACGACCACACTTGTCAGACAACCTGTTGAACTCAATTAATTCCTAGAAAGGAGACGACATATTAGGTACTACAAAGCTGATTATTGTATGCATATTATCACAAACACAATGATGAGGACGACAAGAGAGCACAAAAACAACGACGAGGACGACAAGAGAGCACTGGGTCTTTGTGCCGAGGTCCGAGGATGAGGCTTTTGTTGCCCACCATTCATCCAAGATAAAAACCTGAGAAATATGTTGACAGAACCTATCACTTAGGCTTGGAGCCAACCAAAAAATACACACTATCAATTCATAGAGATCAAGAAAAAACATGGCACTGAGGTTGTGGGCTTCTTCTACAGCCAATGCACTGAGAATCTCAGTCGCCTCCACAGCTCCTGTCTCTCCTTCATGCTCCCTCTCAAGATGCTTCTCCACTGGTACTCTCTTTGTCATCAGCCGGTGGTTTATTTCATCAATTTGTTGGTTAAAAATGGGGTTCTCGTTTAGTCCTTTAAAAGCTATTTGGCAGACTTTATTGTAGTGTAGGAGGATAATATTTATTACAACTAGTTGGGTTTTGCAGTACTAGATGGGTTGAAGTATGCAACTTCTCATGAATGGGTGAAGCATGAAGGCTCGGTGGCTACTATTGGCATTACCGATCATGCTCAGGTCATCTTTTCTTTTATCTCCTTCCTTGTAGCACTGAATTTCTCCTTGGCCTCACCGAGTAGAGTATTTTCTTTCTTTCATATAGAACATTACTTGGTTAAGCCATTTCTGTGGGGAATCTCGTTTGCGTAGACATTCTTTTACTGGTGGTTTTGGATTAGATAATGCATGGCTGTATGCCATTGTGATTCGATAGCCATTCTTTTTTAAAATTGTTCAAGTTGTAAGCTGCAGCCACAATTTAACCACGCAGGATATGATGGAAGTTGAGCTCTGTTTTTTCTTTTTTTTTTTGAGTTTCTTGAATGAAGAAGTCAATAAACTCATCTGATTTTCATTAAAAATATATATATATATATATGATACAAGGGGCATCACCAATTCAAAATGTTCTGTTACTAGGCTTTGTGTGACTCTACTTGTTTCTTCTTCTGTTTGCTCTGTCGCTGCTGTTACCAAAGCTTGAACCCCGGCGGTTGATGGTTGAGGTTTGTACAACACCACACCATGCAAGAGCAAGAGCAAGAGCAAGAGCAAGGGGCATTAACTACTTTGTTTTTCTTCTGGACAATTAAAATTGAATGCAATTTCGTATACCTTTTGTAACATCCTTACATAGTTTGGGATATATCGGGTACATTTTACAGGACCATTTGGGTGAAGTAGTGTTCGTGGACCTGCCAGAGCCGGATGGTTCTGTCAGCCAAGGGAAGAGCTTTGGAGCAGTGGAAAGTGTGAAAGCAACTAGTGATATCAATTCTCCGATCTCCGGTGAGATCGTTGAGGTTAATACACAGCTTGGTGAGACTCCTGGACTGGTAAGTATCAAGCCATGCAAGACCAGATTGTTTCGGCTTTATAAATTTCTAATAGCTGAGAGAAATATTTGTACTGTACTATATATGCATGCCTGATCTTGACAATTTGTGTAATGAAGATAAATAAAAGTCCATATGAAGAGGGATGGATGATCAAGGTGAAGCCAAGCAACCCATCAGAAATAGAATCCTTACTGGGTCCAAAGGAATACACAAAACTATGCGAGGAAGAAGATCATTAGGAGCTTAGTGTGCTGTGGATGTGTTATTATCCTGGACTAACCTATTCTAAAACTATAAAAAAGTTTTCTCTGAATTCTTGTCAGTTATATTACAAATCATTTCCTACTTTTCTTCAATCTTATCTTTTTTTAAAAAAAATTCTGCTTTTGCCTTTCTTTTTATGTTGTAATTCTGCAATTTCTTGTAATTGAGTACCATTCCTCCCCTTGCACTGAATTCTTCTTTTCTACGGATTTCCTGCTCCATAGTTGCATGAACATGATGCTTGGTGTGTTCACGAAAATTTTATGCAATCTTGAAAATTAATATCAAAGAAAAAAAAAATGAAAGTATTCTTATTTCTTCTACCTGGTTCCTGTTAAACAAAAGAGAGAATCCATGCCCCCATATAACACCAACCTAGCCGATAGGCAATATGAGATAAGTTTCATGAAGCAAAGCAAGTCGCTTCTATCCAACGTTTAATTTCCAGACAAGCAGTTAATATACTTCAATTTATTTTCTTGGAACTCTTCTGCATAACTCCGAACTCACCAAAACTCCAGCCATGTAAAAACCATCTTTTACGCAATCCAGATTCAAGAAAGACTTTTAATGGATTTCTTCAAGATATATAGCTAAGGTGAGTTTTCAAATATTATAAAAAGATTGGAAAAAAAAATTTAAATATTCTAGTTTTTATATTTCATTACTTACTGTTTTGATCACAAATAGATCTATAAAAAATATTTTAATAGGAATCTAATACAAGTATTGGATCTTAACTTCTTAAATTATGGTTTTTTAAATTAGTATGATCTAACAAAGTTACTTGCAAGCTGTGCGGGAGTAATTATCAAAGGAGAAATTTTTTAAAAAAAACCGAGACTTAGCTGCATTATATAGGTCCAAAGTGCAATTCATAATTCCTTTTGATCTCGCTGATCACATTTATCTATCCTATTTTTCTAAAGAGACCAGAATTAATTTTGTTAATTAATTGCATCATTTTTTTTAATCCCAAAACCCCTATATAAATAGGGGTTGGGGGCTGTTCAATACACAGAAAAAGCAAGCTCCTCTACATCCTCTGCCTTCCTTCTCCTACTCTTCCTTCAGCACTTTCTTTTATAGCTTAAGGTTCTTGTGTTGCAAAGAATTCGAGACCATTGTCTCAATTTATAGGCCTTTATTGGTTATGCAACCTTTTTAGAAAGTGTTATTGTAATCTAGAAAGACTAATTGCATAAGAACCGCATACACGACCAAGTTACAAGCAATTTAGCTTTTAGAAGGTTTACTGTTTTTTTAATCGAAATTCTTCAACAATTAAGTACAGATTTACATAAGAACGGTTTGTGTCAAGTTACAAGCAATTTAGCTTTTAGAACGCTTTTTATTTACTTTATTATTCATGGGAAATTCTTCAACAAACAAGTACAAATTTTGTTCCTATTAGTGTAATAATTTTCTATATTGTATAAAGAGGATGAACAACAGAGCTCGGAGAAGAAGAGATGCCTCTTATCTGAAGAGGCTAAACCAACAATATCAACTATCAGCTGGCATCTCCAATACGTGGCTATCAAACAAGTAAATGCATTGGTTATCAGGCTAGTTCGCCAAGGGCTAAAGCCTAAACCTCACGTATTCATTGGACAAAGAAACGAAGAAGAGTTGAAGCATTTCTGAACAGGGTTAACTGAACTTTGTACACTGCTCACAACACGTCCCATGCCAGAATCACGAGGACAATGAAGCTATGAGCAAGAAATGGCTTCCAAACTTGAAATAGTCAAGTGCAATACTCTGTTATCAGCTGGTTTAAGAATATTGGACCTTTATAGTGATTTGATTTTCCTAGTTTGAAGAAATTCTCTGTAATGTGAGCTTTATAGTAGTGCAAGGCAATTGGGGGATTGAGCTAGCAAAGTGACCTGGAAAACATTATAGCAGCATATCTGATTAAAAACTGTAGCTTAGCTCGATCACGGTGGATATGCTATTCAATCAATATGTAGCTATATTTAGGGGTTTCTTCCATGGAAGATTCAAATCATAAAAGCTAGTGGAAATCGTACATAGTAATGGAGATTGCTCCAACCAGGTACCATATCCTCATTTCCACCGGAACCCAAACGGATAACACTGACTAAAGGAATATTGTAGAGTTACAATACCTAATCCCACACATTTATAACAGGTCAGCAACATTTGTATTATCAGCACCACTGAAGGAAAAATGGAAGCTACCTCAAAAAACAGAAAGAAAAAGGGTAAAAAGTCAAATGAAATTCAGCAGAAGTAGAAGATGTCGATGTGTTGGAATTTAAAACTGGCAGTTGAGATTTCCACAATGGTTGCGAGAAGAAATGCAGTCTTCCTGCATGGATGCTCCGCCTGATACTTGGGTTGAATCTATAGGTAACAACTTGACAGTGTAAACTGAACTACACAAACATATAGCACCCAAGAAAACTGCAATGATTCGAGGAGCACCTGAAAGCATTAATGTGGCAAACAAACAAATACGAAGTTAATGACACACCCTGTCCCTTCCCACAACTCTGCTCTGCAAGAGAAACTGCCTCATGAAATTTGTTTACCTACTCGCCACCTGTAGTAAATTTGTTTACTTACAAGAATGAGAGAAAAAACTCAACAAATCCATTTTCATCAAAATAACGAGCAAGCATAAAGTGAGTATTCTGCTAAATGCTAATTTTCAAGTCCATGTTAAGAAAGAGAATATGCCGTACTCAACTGCTATATTAAGAAGAAAGAAGGAAATTCCAGAAACCAAACAAAAACATGCAGGATCATACAGCTCCTAGGAAATCCATGCCGCAGCTGCGCAATATAAACCACCAGAAGCATCAAACAGTTACCGAAACACATCTGTTTTTTTTTTTTTTAATATAGAAAAACTACTTTTACCGGATGAAGTACTGTAATCTGTACATAAAACTTCTGTATTTTCATGTTTGTATTGATATCAACGGAAGCAGACAGCACAACCAATCATTGGTTCAATCAAACCCATAACACAACAGTTAAGAGTTCTGCGAGAAATTAAACCAGAAGAATATGCTACAACAAGTTTTCAGGGAAAGACTGGTTCTTGCTAACCCTCGTGGTTATCTGATGCCACAGGTGATGTTGCAGTATCAGGTGATTGACTGTCTGAAATGGAAATTAGTTCTGATCTATACTTTTCAGCTCCATCACCATTTATGACTGGAAGCTTTTCCTCGTCATTGACACTCTGACGCACACCTTCTGAATATTGAACCTTATCTGGTAGGCAATAAGATATACCAATAAGTGACTCCCGTGCAAGTTCCTGAGAAATCTCCTCACAAGCTGCTTTGTTATCCATAAAATGTCTGACTTTTTCCTGAAAAACAACCAGGAGTTCTATCTGAAATTTTGAGCACAGGACAGAAATACTCAACCAATAGGAAAAGAGACGCACACAAAAAAAGGCTCATTTTTTTTTCCTCCTCTAGTGTCACGCTGGTCAGCAAAAAAACTCAAATCAGGCTTACCTAGTGGCTACCAGCAAGGCTAGCAGATGGGCTGTAAAAAAACAGAAAACAAAGATTTGACTAAAACCTTGTTAAAATCCTGCTAATGGACTACTTCAAACTATCCTCATTTCTTTTCCTCATAATTTATTTCCTTTTGTTTCCACTCTCCCAACACAACACCCGAATAATTCAGCAAATAGTTACCTCATCCAAACTGCTGATATACATTTCTCTGTTCCTATAACAGAGGAGAGGGAGAGAGAGAATTTTACAGTCTCTTCCTCATCCATTTTTCTTCGCCTTTTCAGTTGCTCCTTATTTCATTCCCCCCAAAAACACCAGGGATAGATTCCACTACGATTAGCCAAGCCAATCACTTTTTTAACATTCTTCTCCCAACCAAGTACATATATTTATTTATTTACTTTCTTGTCGTCAATATCTCAATATCAAGTTGAATCCAATCAAAATCAACTCAAACTCAAAACTTAAATTGCTTGAATTTTTTTTTCCAATTACATCAATGGAACCCATTATTAATCAATTAAATGTATTCCCAGAAAAATAAAAAATAATTAAAACTGTGTTGCAAGATCCCCAATACAAAGGAGAAATTATGATCAATCATAAACAGTCATTTCAATTTCACAAACCCTAACTTTCGATGGGTAAACAACTCAAAGTTCGATTATTAAATCATTGAGACCGTAAGGAAATATTAGGTTTCTTTCTTGATTTCTGAGGTGAAAAAGGGCATGAGAAGAAGTGAGATTGAAAATTATCTGTTTATTTCTCGAAATACAAGCAGTAGTTATTAAGATCCGACAAGCAAGATCACGAAGACAGAAGAAAAAAAGACAGGTAAATCCTTGATTGATCAAGAGAAAAAAAAAATAAAAAAAAGAAAATCGGAAATATTATCATACCTTTTTTTCCTCTTTAATAGATCTAACGACCGATGTGTCTCCGTTTGTTCTGCGCCTCCGTGATGCCAATCCTTTTTAACTCTTCATTTTGGCTGAATTTACAAAAACACCCCGCTCATGCTTTTTTATTAATTGAAGTTAGGATTTGGTAACCGTAGTTTTTTTTTCTTGAAATTATATTAAAATAATATTTTATTTTATTAATATATTAAAATAATTTAAAAATATAACAATATAATATAAAAATATTTGTGTTTTTAAAAAATTGTAGCTATTAACTGAGTTTTTTTTCTCCCCGAGCTACAAAGACCAAAAGATTATCGACCATCACAAGGAAGCTTTGGGAATGGCGTGAGGGTATGTGCATGTGAGAATCAGCAAGGGCTTATATATAAACATATACATATACATATACATATATACATATATATGTAGATGCATATACATATACATATATATATATATATGTATATGTTTATATATATATATATATGGCTACAAGAAAAAAAAATAGAGCACAAAAGTTCCAAGGATTTATATATTTATATTATTATTAGAAATCCTCAAGCACAAGCATTGAGAAAGGCATTGAAATCTTCAATTGGACACATGTTCATGAATCCATCCATGTTCATCCACGCCACATAGCCAGCTCTTAGCACGTGTTAAGTTACTCTTGTCTCTTGCAATAAACCTATAAACAAAGAGACATTTGTTTAACATGCGGTTGAACCAATAAACAAAACAAATATTTTATTTTGTCATGGGTTCTTAGATAAAAAATAAAAAGAAATAAAATAAATATACATGGTCAGTATCATTACTACGATAGCCTGTTTTGATTGCTGAAATATGATCAATTAATATCAAATTAAATTGAAAAAAAGAGAGTTAAAGTGACTAAAAAATAATTCAAATCACATAAAAAAATAATTTTAAAGGATTTAATTGAAAAAAATTAATAAAATTAACTTTAATTTTATTAAATTTAGCATTCACCACGTATTAAATTTGTTTTTCAACACCGCATGCAAGAATCTTATACCAAGTCAATTAAAAGAAATCACTAAGCACAACATTAAATCAACATAATATAAAAGTATTAATTAGAAAAAAAGGAATAAAAATGATAAAAAAAATAAGAAAAGAAAAGAAACATGAGGCGACCCATTGTCCATATCAAAAGTGTTTTCCATCCTGAACTTTTTTTAATTAATTATATTGATATTGATAGTAATTGATAGTAATTATTCAGTGATATTCAACATATCAAACTATATTCGTGGCAAGTATCCAATACCATTGCGGCACTCACCAAGTTCGAGTGCTAATAAGGTTATGAATAACAATACAAGAAAAAGGTTTGACATTTCACATTCTTATTTTAGCATACTAATAGGTGGTGCATGTTTTGCCACAAGATGAGCCTATTTCTATCTTAAATTAAAAAATAATGTTAAAGTGTTGCCCAAGTGGTTTTTTTAAAAAAACTCAATTTATAAATTTCAATGCTAAAAGACAAAAAATAAAAATAAATTAAAAAATAATAATAAAAACCTCGATCTAATCTAAGCTAGCATCATAGACTTGTGATCCAAATAATAAGGTTGGGAAATCTTCAGAAAAAACATATAAAAAAAACTATTATTTTATGAACTCAAAGTTAAAGGCTAAAAATAAAAAAGAAAATAAATATAAAAAAAAATTAAAACTAAAATAAATGTCATCCCAAGCTAGTATCTCATACCTGTAATCCAAGTCATGAGACATGAATGACCATAAAAAAATAATTAACGAAGCCCATTCCTTAATAATTAAATGCTAAAGACTGAAAATCAGAAAGGAAAATTAATTTTTTAAAAAGGATAAAAATAATTAAAATAATAAAGAATAACTTCGATATAACAATAAAATAAAATAATATAAAAACCCTAAGCGAATCCAAGTTAGCATGAAAAATATGTAACTGGAACTATATGGCCAGGTTATAATAATAGAAAGCAAAAAAATAAAAATAAATTAATTTTTTTTTATCTTCAATAAACTCAATGTTAAATGTTAAAATAAAAAATAAAATTAATAAAAAAAACAAAAAACATCAATATCAATCTGAGTAAAAATTCTATAAATATGATTTTATTTATAAGATCAGGATAACTGCACTGAAAAAATCAATGAAGTCTAATTCTAAACAGATTAAATATTGGAAGATAAAATTAAAAAAATAATTTAAAAAAAAACTATATCAATAAAAAAAAATAAAGGTCAAATCTGACATAAAAATAAATTAATTCAAATAATAAAGAATAAAATTGAAAAATAAATTTTTAAAAAATAATAATAAAAAAGAATTAAGTCTCCATATAAAAATAAAAAAAATAAAACTGAAAAGATAATTAATAAAAAAAAACTCACGAAAATAAAAAGATCATTTTATCTCTATTTAATATAATAATAATAAATATATCTCATGAAAAGATAATTTTATCTCCAAAAAGAATTTATATAATTTTTATTATGAAGAGTAAAATAATCATTTCGATCGAATCCACTATAAAATCTGATAACTCCCCAGTAAAAACCTGAGCACATAGATTTTTGTTAATGATCCGTCTGGTTAGACGAACCTTTGGGAACTCTTTCTTATTTCAGTACATATTCTGATTTGATGACAGCTAAGTTTTCTAGGTAACAAAGCCAGGCAATTTAAATCAAGTGATCATGGAGTTCAAGAAAGAATGGCTGGTTGAATAACTCTATTTTTAGACAAGCCATGAGAATGTCAGAAAACGCAGACAAGAAAAACACATCTGCTGAATATCGAGTGTCAGAAGCTGCAAAAACTCAGTTACAAAATTTTCACCCCTATCTGTTTAGAAGCGGTGCAACCGCTGCATGGAGACAGAAACTAGGGGTCAGGCCTATCCCTAGCCTCAGATTGAAGATATTTTGGAGCAAGCTCTATCAAATCAGTTCCATCAACATCAGAACATTTTTTCCCCTTCTTACGTTCAGGGCCTGCAAATGTGACCCTCCGTTCAGCAAGGTTTATGTCATAGAAAAATTGAATATGTTTTCGTTGATTTCTAGAAATGATGCATGCAGAGAGATTTTGTCATCAATGGGTCATTTTTTTTTCCAAAATAGTACAGTTAGTAAAAATAAATAAATAAAATTAAAAAATAGTTGAACCGGAAAAAAATTGAGGACAGAACATTTTATTGGTTGTGCTACTTAAAGTAGCAGCACAATTCAATTGAACACGCTTCTCCCAAGAGTACAATCAATTAAAATCTTGAAAACCGAAAAAATTAAAGGGTTACGAAGTATCTCCATGTAGATCTGCTTATATATATTACTGAGTTGATCTGCCTTTTGCCCCCATTTGGTTTGGTTAGATGTGCATCAGAATGCAACATCCGTGGCTTCCGCAAGTGATGTTCTGTCTTCTGTAGCCTACATCTTGCCATCAATGTATGATCGCAATTGATAGGACAGGAAATTTGTATTCTGAGTTTCTGACCAAAGCACGAGGCACATATTTGTGATAATATTGATCATAGAGCCACCACAGATAATTGCTGTTTGAAGTGCAATGCCTGTGTTTTGAGAATAATTGAGCTTCATTTTCTGCAAAAAAAACTGATATACATGGCAATCCTTCTA